TTTCAGGGCTAACTGCTCTAGGGGAAAAAAAAGACTAAGCCTCTCCCACAGTGTGCTCTGTTAAAAATTTTGGCTAATTGTATTCTTCAAAACACATTTTTTTGTTTAGTCCTCTTTTAAAATTTTTATCTCTGTTAAAATTCTCACGTTGTCCTTGCATGCTGCCACTAGCTTATTAAACATGTTTCTAATATTTACTTTAAATTTTCTGCCAGGACATCCATATTTTTTTTTATTCATTGATGCCAGATTCTGGACCTCTGTGTTGTCTGTTAGGACCATGTTCCCGTTTCTTCATTTTCCTTGACGGTCTTTGTTGCTCTCTGTTCATCATAAGAAGCAGCTCTTTGCTCATCATAACAAACAGCCACACTCTTCCAAGCCTAGGCTCATAGAGACCACCCTCACCAATCACTTCACTCAGTGATTGTGGATCTCTCAAAACTTCATAATCACTTCATAATGTTCAAACTTCTGTCTCTGTTCTTAGTGGCCCCCAGGTTTAGAGAATGTTGGGTTGTGCCAGGACTCCCAATTAGGGGAAGTAGAAACTATTTACTCAAGCAGCCTCTTGAACAGGTACACCATTAAACACAGTTTTATTATTGAGGCATGATTCATCAAAATAATGTTAGTTCAAGCTCCTCTCGACCAGTCATCTAACATGGAAATGTTGGAATTTCTTTGTTGGATCTCTCTGGAGTTTATCTTTTGAATATTTAGTTAAAAATATTCTAGTATAACATTTTTTTACAAACTAGTATAAAGCTACCTATTTGGCAAAATTATCTGCTGCAGAATTTTCATCTTCTGTGTATCCCTTTTGGACTTAAATCTACGTTTTTATTAATTATGTATCCAGAATATAGAAATATGTCTTAAACATCCTTCTTTTTTTTAAGTTTTTGGGGTTTCCAGAAGATGTGAGAACCTTCTTTATTTATAAAATACCTGATTCCACATTGCTGAATAGTTTCCTCTTTAATTTATCTCCTCCTCTCACATTATATTATATTACATTAAGCAAGGAGAAACCAAAACACACCATCCACACTTTGCTTAGAAATCCCCAAAGCTAAACTTTTAAGTATCACTTACTAATTCTAATTTTACCCATTATAACATAATTAACATAAAATCTATAACAAGGTACACATACTTTCCAGTATCCAATACCATGTTTGTGACAGAAACAAAGCATGTGTGTTCTCTGAAACGTGGTCACCTGAGACCTGAGATGAGGGATCATGTAGATATTGTTCTGGTTTCTAAGGTTGGGGACAGCAATAGTGATAACAATTCTGAACAGCACAGGCTCCTACTTGAAAGGTTTTAGGTCAATTTACTGCCGCAATTTTATATTAACACCTTGTTTGAATGAAGCTCAGAGCAAGAGGCCACATCCCAGGTCACACAGTGAGGAGGAATGGAGCTGTGCTCTGCTCCCCAAACTACCTACAAATGCCAGGCACGAACTCAGGTTCCACTGACGCATGGCATCTAGAGCACAGCTCTCAGGGGATGATGTTAGGACACCTGCTTCCTCAGGCAGGGCGCTTCCTTTTCTCAATTGTCCACTTGCTCCTTCTGCAGACTCTGGAGTTAGCACTTGTATTGCCATGGTTTATACATGTTTTGTCCCCTAACATGGTTTAAAAAAAAACATATTTATTGAATTTTCAGTTTCATTTCCTCTGAAGCACATTGGGTGAGCAGAAAGAAATAAATCACATTCCTTATCCTCCCACACAGCCAAAGATTCCTGAAGACAGAGCTGATGTGATATACTCATAGGTGGATCTCTGCCCCTCAGAGGTGGCCTTGGTCTTCAAGTTTCAGCAATTCTGGGAAGCGAAGGACACCTCTATCTCCTCCTCCCTGCTCTGCAGCTCACCTGAGAACAGCTTTCTTATTGGAATATCTTGTGTTTAAGTAATAAGAGTCCCTGTTTTAGGTTTGGGGGACTGAGTGCACCTACTGGATCCAGCCCAGGACTGGAGATACTTTCCAGAACAGAACATCACCTGAGACATGACCAGTCACACCGCTTCACTTTCACAATTTCAGCTTCCTCAGAAGAAAATTGAAATTGTTGATACTTTTTTGTAAGCATTGTGCCATGTCCTTTCTCTGTTTTCCTGCCTGTTCATTTATGTCATACCAGGTGCCTGTTATACGTAATAAGATCAAAAATTTGCCTCCAGTAACACATCAATGGAGACCTTTGATTGGACTTTTGGTTTATGCTCTGACACATAGATTACAATGTTCATCACCCTCATTTTTATGTCAAAAGAAATCTGCAAAATCTGAATGCAAATACTTTTTGGAATCTACCAAGTAACTGAAATTGAAAAATAAATACCCACTCAAGGACCTGGATAGACAGGCAAGTCCACAATGGCAGTCGACAGTTGCTTAACTGGAAGAGAAGCTGCAGAAGCCACAAGCTGTTGAGGACACTTACGTGGTCAGCACTATAGACGTCCGAAAGACAGATGTGGACTCGGTCAACGTGACTGTTCCAGAGGGTCTTGTGCTTCTATGTTTTACGGGCTTTCTCTCCAGAAACCTCCAGATTCTAAAAAATACTATTCAAATACATTTCTTATCGGTCAGATTGGAGAAGATTCATTACTGAGAAATATAACAGGAGCCTTTTTCAAAAGCTTCTACGGGGAAGGACGTTCCCAGAACTTATCCTACATGAAGGAAGACAAATCTCGCATTGCAGATTTCTCCCCCATTCTTCCATTATTATACAAATGAGTAAAGATAGCCAATAGGGGCAAGATGTACGTAAATAATCCAGGGACACTGAAACTACAAAAGGAAGTAATGGCCAAAAACAGCTGTTTCCCTGGAGATTCCTGTGAAAGTCGCAGCCCAGAAGAGGAAGCCGATCGCGTCTCTAGGTTTCCATTGTCAAAACAGGCAGTGCTGACCTGCACTGCACAATCCATTCTAATCAGGATGATGGCTCTGGATTAAAGATGAGAGTGTGGCAATGCACAGACTCTGGGGAGAACATACAGAAATTAAAAACACAATGGCAGACTCAGACAATGACAGTAGAGCAATATGAAGCCTCTGACTTCAACATTTTTAAAAACAAGATCTTGGAAACTCCCTCGTTCACCTCAGCGTCTTTTATCATGAAGCCTTTGCAAGGTTCTTATCTGAGACAAAGAAAATAACAACCTGCATGCACTTCCAAAGTCTCCACTTGTATCCTGTTTGTCTTAGCTCTCTAGGACAAAAACATGGCATAAACCTAGACCTAGTGTCAGTGCAGGAGGCACTTTCTACAGGCGAGGCACTAGGAAGAAGGGAAAATGTGTGTTATTGGAATATTGGATATGAAGTGTGCTCTCACCTGAAAGCATCTGCACCTGCTGGAAATCTCAGATGCAACATTCAGCTGCAGGGAACAAGGCACACCCAAATTTCCTGTAAGGTTTTGGATTCATTTTCCACTGATTTGGTGCATCTGGAGCTTAGAGACGGGGCTCCCTCCTGGGTCATAGAATCCTTGCTTTGGGTCTCCCTGTAGAGTTCATTAGGTTTAGTAAGGCTAATCAATTATTTCAAGAGATGGTGCCAGCAGTGTGTGCTGCCACTGAAGGATTATTCTAAGCCAGGACAAAGCCATTTCGTGTTAGGTTAGGGAAGCTGAGGGAAAATGCTTTGTGAGCCCCACAGGAGCCTCCTCGCAAGGCAAGGGCTGGGCTGCAGGGGGCACTCAGGAGCCACCCAGCAGAGGTTCCAGCCCCAGAGCAGGTGCACAGGAGGCTGGGGACGAGGTTTCCTCTCAGCGCCTGTGTCTTCCTTTGTCAACAACAACAACAACAAAAACCCTAAGTGTTCAAGAAGTTGCTGATGTGCCTTTAAATATCCTGTTACATCAGAACCATTCATGTAACTTAAGGCAACCAGAACTATTTTTTAAAGTGGGTTTCAAGGACTGTAAATATCTTAATAGTGATGATATAAATGATAGGAATGGTTTTACTGATTGAAAGGATACAGAATTGTGGGAGTCTCTATATTCCTATGAATAAACAATTCAGATTTTAGTGTTAACTAATGTTGCCTACATTGTGTGAGTGACAGGGCAGTGGTAGATCTGAGAGTGTGGGAGGTGCACAAACGTAAGGAGTCAGAAATCAATATGGAAAGATGAGGATCTATGGATATGAACTGAAAGTATGTAAACAGTTCGTGAAATTCTATTAAATGGAGTAGGAAATAAAACCCAGACTTACCCAAAACACAAATTCCTTTACGATTATTTTGGGAGCAGAGAGTTCATCAGGAACCCCAAACTTCTCTTACATCTTCTGATTCCTACTGTCCGTGAGATGAGAAAATGAGCTCTAACTATGCATCACAGGGCAAATCTGTAAACCAAGAGTGTTTCTATTGAAGATCATGGAGGATCAGGAAGCCAGGCAGGTGCTGGAGACACTGTCTCAGGAGCTCCCAGATGATCTCAGGGGGACCTGCTGGACACTCACGTGGGACATCAGCAGTCACTTTCTCAGAGTCACCAGTGAGCTGTGCTGGTGCCTGATGGGACTAGGATGGGGTCAAGGCACCTTCTCAGTGTCATGGAGAGTGATGGTTCCAGAAAGCATCCAGGCGGTCTCTACGCTAATCAAATATGGGTTCACAGTGAGGAGCATGTCCTCTGGGTGCTTGGTCTTCAGTGACAGGACATCTGGACACCAAACATTTGTAAACGGAGCAGAGCCTGCATTTCCTCAAGGAGGACTAGGGCTTGGAGCATCAGCATCCCACTCTTGTAAGGGTGATGTGTCATTTACCTTCCCTTCCTTATCCTGAATCAGGGTCTAGAGCTATGAAATGCTCTGACTCATGAATATGCAAATAACCTGAGATTCACTGAGGTAAATATGGATATGTCTCAGCCCTGAGAGTATCACCCAGAAACCACATCCCTCCAGCTAGAGAAGCCCCAGGCAGCACAGCTCCTCACCATGGACTGGACTTGGAGGATCCTCTTCCTGGTGGCAGCAGTGACAGGTAAGAGGCTGTCAAGTCCCAGTGATGAGGACGGGATTGAGTGCAGTCAAAGGGGCTCTCATCCACTCCTGTGTTGTCTCCACAGGTGCCCACTCCCAGGTCCAGCTGGTGCAGTCTGGGGCTGAGATGAAGAAGCCTGGGTCCTCAGTGAAGGTCTCCTGCAAGGCTTCTGGTTACACCTTTACTAGCTCTGCTATGCAGTGGGTGCGACAGACCCCTGGACAAGGCCTTGAGTGGATAGGATGGATCATCATTGGCAATGGTAACACAAACTACGCACAGAAGTTCCAGGGCCGAGTCACCATTACCAGGGACACGTCCACGAGCACAGGCTACATGGAGCTGAGCAGCCTGAGATCCGAGGACACGGCCGTGTATTACTGTGCGGCAGACACAGTGTGAAAACCCACATCCTGGGAGTGTCAGAAACCCCAGGAAGACGCAGCTGTGCTGGCATGGAGGAGATGACAAAGATTATTAGATTGAAGATTTTCTTAGAAAATGACATGAAGTCATTAAAGAAAAGGAACAACATAAATGTGTATTTGAGAAATTTTAATTATTTATTAAATTTATTCTGTAAGCTATTTCAGGGACTTGAATATGAATCAAATTAATAAAGCTGATATAGACTTCCTCTGAAGGTATCTTTGTAAACATCAGTTTCTGAATCCGTGTTGTAAATATTTTGGAACACAGACACAAGATCACATTTTAAGTCTACTTTTATCTCTATTTCTAAAAATGCCAAAAAGAATCTTTTTTTGTGCATGTTCCATTTTGAATTCCCACCATCAATGCATGATAGTTCTTAGTTTTCCTCATTGAAATTGCCATTTATCATTAAGAGTGTTGTGTGTTTTAACCCTTCTACTAGGTGAGTAATTTTATCTAATTTTTATTTAAATGCACAGGTCCCTAAAATAATTCATATTTAACAATTTTTGTATAATTTTTGGTGAGCTGCCTCTCGTGATATTTGATTAATTTTTAACTGCATTTTTTATGAGTGGTATGTATACTTGCATATTGATTACAAAAGTCATTTAACAAATCAAAATAATTCATTTAACAAATATGCGACTTGGAGTTTTTTCTCCATGTCTCCAGTCGTCTTTTACTCCCTTATCCCTGTGTATTGCAGAAAAGTGTGTGTGTGTGTGTGTGTGTGTGTACAAATTTAGATGAAAAGCATGTAAATTTTTATTCATTCACAGATCATGTCTTTGGCATTTTATCTGAAATCTCATTATAAAATACATGAATTGTGATTTTTTTTCCATGTCTCTAATCTCAGGACACAATCAACTCATGAGTGTTTAACCTTCACCTACCTGAGTGGAGGACTCTCCACCTGAGATATTTGCAATATTTCTGTAAGAAGACGTGTTCTTCTTCCAATTATTTATTTATTTAGTCATCCATTGATGTCCGTATTGGTTTATGGATGTCTGTTTCATACTCTGAAGAAGATCCTTGCTACATTCTTCATTTTATTGTTCAAATCATCAGAGCTTTATTAGTGCTGGGAGCTCATTTAGTTTGATTCCTGCATCCTTACAGTAAACCTCATCTTTTTGTTTTTGGACATTTCCCTGTTTCCAGGTATTACAATAAATTCTAAGCTTGTTTTCTATGTTTACTTTTCTGTACATAGAATCAGAGCCATTTTTCTAATGACTGCTTGTGTCTGATGTTAAAGAATAGTATTAAAATTTTAAAAAGTCATACTGGGTGTGCGTGTTGTTAATGTGGTGTAAGTACTTCTAGGACCTCTCAGCCAATTGGCCTAGTGAATGTTCATGTTTGTATGAACCCATGTTTATGGACACATCGAAACTATTTATGTATCTAATCTTCTGCAACTTGATTACATTAAAAATGAGAACACACTGGTGTCTCCACCCAACTATGCTGCCATATGGACCTTTCCAGCCTGCCTTCCTTGACTGTCCATAACCACCCACTGCAAAGTGAGCAACCCAGTCCTAACATATGTCATTTTATTACTTAGCTGCACAATTTCAGGACACATGCATAGCAGTATCAGAAATGTAAAGCTCATTGGAAACATGTTTATCTACTAAAACAGACTGCTTATGTGCAGTTTCTTTACATGATAAACGTATAGAATTTCCTCATTTTCAAAGTTGCTTAGGTCAGCAACTTCACTTTCCACTTTCCTCAGTGAAGTCATTTCAATGACAATGTATAATGGCATGTATTTGAAATTCTTTGATGCCAAAACTATAGTCAGGTAAACATATAGACGATATTCAAGCAATTTAGAGAGTGGGTATAAAATAAGTAAAAATGGCACTGGTTAAGAAGAGCAAAATTATTTTTAGTGATATACAGTGGTTAAGTAAAATTATTTTTAGTGATATACATGGCAGAATTAATTTGGCTAAGCTCATACTGTTGTGACAGAAAATATAAACCTAAATATACACAATTTTTGTAAAAAAATATTTAGCAGTTCATTATTCCAGGATTAAATGCAGACTGTGTAAAATTATCTAATAACTTATTTGTGAGGGTGGGGATATCATGAGACACATGCAACAAAGAATGAAGTAATTTTCCTCATTTGCATATAAGACGTTTCCATTCACTAAAGATCTTTAATAAAAAAA